TTTATTTTGATTTATTTATGCTTGATTAATTTTAATCATGTGCACAGTATGTTGAAGGTTAACTTAATTTGTACCTCCGTACCCCCTCAGTCTTCTGTGCGTTTTTTGGTTAAGTTCGTGTTTACAAGTTTTTCATCATACCGGAATGAAGGGAAGAACATCCTTTTTAATATTGCGTATAACTTTCATTAAAAAGTTGTTGAAAATCATATTTAGAAATTAAATATTTTTGAACTCGCAAATTATTAATAAAATGCTAACTAAGATATTTTAATATTAGTCATTTACACCTACGAGCAAACTTAAGATTATTTATTGACGCAAACGAAGAGCATTCACATCTTACGGACCCTACCAGCTCTCTAATGTTATTTATAGAGCGATTAAATATTAATTTGCCAGCTAAAAGGTAAAGCAATATTATTTTTATATCGTGTTACATAGATCATGGCGAAACTTGCTTCCGTGAGTTAATACAGGGGAGGCTGGACGTGTCTAATGTCAAGGATTTTTAGGTCAAGTGATGGAGAAGCCAAGAGAACGATGGGCAAACTTTGTGTATTTTGTCTGTTCAAGCTTGTCAGAGCTGGCCCACAAACTTATCTTAAATTAAGATCCATACAACATCAGAACTGCCAACCCTTACGATTTTGGCGTAAGGCGTACGAAATCAGCGTCTCAAATACGCCTTACGATTTCTTTCTATATTCTTCCGATTTCAGTTTTTCTCGTTCAAAGTTTATAATACCGGTATTTTCATAGCTGGCAGTCCATAGTATCTACATTATAATATATCCATAATTCTTACAACGTTTGCTTGTACATGTATCATCGTTTCGGTTTTAGAGGGCCAATCACATTCATGTCAATGTTTTAAAGTAAAAAAATGGAAACAATTATGCCTCAGATCGCATGTTCATTTACAAAAGATCTTCAGCGTCAGGGGGCTTAGGTGCTCCCTAGACCCTGCCTTACTATTTGTCATTTAAGAATGTTGGCAGCTCTGCAACATATACAAGAAAATTGAGTTGTCTAAATGTACGAGGGGAATTGAAAGCTTCCATCTGAATGAAATTTCTCCTAAGAAAAGCCGATCACACACGAAACAGTCAAGTGATGTACAAAGTTGTTCATGAATGGCCTCTTTTATTTCAATCTGAAAAAAGGATCTCCCTTCTCCGTTCCTCGTAAATGATGCACATTCCTCAATTTTTCTCTCTACAAGATGTGAATTCTTGAGCAGACGATAATCGATCGAGGGCCCACTTGCTTTTCCAGAGGCCGGGCATTAAAGACAATATTTACAGGCATCCCTAACAAAAGATTCTTCAAAATTAACCATCTGTAGCTCTCTAGTGGGGATGAAAGTTTGTGAACCGGTAGGGGGCGATACTGTACTCGGGAGGTGTTATTGTGCTATTGTTTTAGTTACTTCACTTTTAACATCAATTTGATATTTTAAGTTTTGTTCATTTTATTATCAGTAGTTGGGATCTTCTAAGGATGACGAGAACACAAAATAAATTTTCGTACTAGAGTAAGAAAAACATTTGAAAGTTGATAAAAGTGCAAAATAATTACTGAACATTCATTTATCATGTTTTGTCTGTTAATTTTATATTTGCTCGCGATAACATTTTTTTAGCATCAAACCACTTCAAAGAAAAACAGCGTGAACATTGTTAGAATCAGTAAAACAACAGCCAAGAATTCAGACAGATGCACAAGATATCGATAATATACGAAAATACAACTTATCGCGAATGTATAGAGCTGATTAAGGTGCAAGTTATTTTAACAATGGGATAATCCTGGGTCGTTGGAGGAAAAAAAACAAACAAGTCACGACAAAAGTGTATTTTTTGCGTGAGGCGTCCTCGTTTAAGAATGATTCAAAAAGAACCAGAAGTTGACTAGATGTGAATCTTTTTTTCTGTGGGGTATAGAATCCCCATCTGTTTTGGGGTTAATTTAATTCACCCAAAGCGGGGATCAATGGAATATTACTGGACAAGAATATAAAAAGAAATCCGCTTTATTTAGGAGGAGCCATCTGTCTAACAGAGCGGGGAATCAAAAAATACTTCTATTTTACGCAAACTTCTCAGCTCTATTAATGATAATTATATTTTTGCCCATTGTTTTGTCTGAGAGGAGAACTACGGTGTAATGAGCTATCTGAATTATGGATATCAAAGATAAAATGCTCTTCGTCAATGGCTGAATGATAAAGGATAAATAAAGTAATTTCATGATAATGAATTATTTGGTTTCTTCTCATATTCTAGAACATTTGTTTTCAAAGCAATATCATGCAATAGCCTGACTCTGTAGCAATCAAAATAATGTATTCAGTTTCCTCTGATCTCCGAGAAAACATTCAAGATTATTATAAGCTAAACAAAGCAAAACCAAACACACAAAAACGGATTCAATATACATAATGCAAGCGTATCATAAATTATTTTAGAGCAATAGTTTTATATCTGTGTTTGTAGTTTGCCCATATTGAAATTTTGATTTGTATCTAGTATACAGTGCGATGTTAAATGTGTTTAATGATAAGTAATCAGTGATACTGTAAGGTAAAACAACAGAAATAAGTCTTATTTTCAGCATTGCCCAAGGTTCTTGGACAAAGCCGACTCTCTCTGTGATCTTGAATAATGTACATCTTTGTAATCTTGGAAGGTAAATATTACAATATCAAATCAACACTGAAAAGAAAAAAAAAATCAACTCATTACCGCTACATTTCTTCGAAATTTCGGGTGATCACTACCGATTCATTTCATCAATAAGACTACTGCCGATAATTGTTTAGATGTAGTGGTAATGTAACGTTTTTGTAGCGGTAACGAGTACGTAGCAGTAATGAAAATAAAATAAGCACCCGTAATCTTATACAATGCACAAAGTCATCCAAAATTTAGACTTCGTGCTTTGGGGATTAGAATGTCTCAGTAAATGTCACAGGAGTGGCGAGAGGTTTAGCTGTGCAAGAGATCGAAATGTATTCACCAAACAGTCCATAAAAGCTGCAATTAGGAACTGATTATTTATTAAAGGAAATTCGCCACCATAATGGTTCTAACGACATAAAAATCGACCATAAGTTCTATATTCAGTCACATTTATCAGCTTCATTCATGTTACCTTCGAACAACGTTTCCCAAAGGCAGTAAAAAGCCTGACAATGACGTCATTTCCTGTCAAAGACATCTCCCCGAACTAGAATTCGGTCCTGTGATTTTGAAGGCTCACTGCCTGGCAGTTTCCATAGACCTCGGAGACAGAGAAATATCGATCGTCAGAGAAATACAGAGAGAGGGCTGATTCCATCTTCCCTTGTAGGAAATTAATAAATGTGCGCAGCGCCTGGACCATTCCATTACAGACTCTGTGAGTCAGTGGGATTACTTGGGTCGATACTTTTGTGCTGTGCTTGACATCACGGCCTGATATTAATACATCGTAAGGATGGACATATGAAACTCAAACATGTCAGGTAAATGCTCGAGGAAATTCGGAACATAATGTGGTCGTCAGGCATTGCCTTTTCACATTGTCTTTTTTTCTTTTATTGTAAATTGATTTTACTTACACTTCAATCTGTTCTACCCGGATTTACTTTTCAGTTCACATTTCATTTAAACAAAATGTTTTCTTCATTGTACTATATTGGAGTATAGTTAATGCTTTAAGGATATATTTAAGGAACATCGATCGAATTTAAATCTCTTTTTCTTAATAAAATTAGACTTTGTTCAAATTTCATGGACCATTCTCATACTGGATTTCTATTTATACTAATTTCAATGTAATCAGAATTTCCATGGGTTAATTAATGATATTTAGCATCGAAGTTTGAAGGAAAATTAAAATTGTGATGTGATGATGGCCAAACACAGACTTTTTCAAAACGTGTGATTGTTTAACAAAACAGAATATGGCTGTCGTCATCACCAACCTTATGATCGATTTTTCACCTGTACCTACACAAGGCACGGATTTATACAGGTGTGTCATCGATCTGGGACGCCATCTTGGATTCTGCTGGTGATGCCGACTTTTTTCCTCCAATTCAAAGAGCAAGAAAGAACTCAATCGGATTGTATTGGGAGTTATCGATTCGGTCTTATATGATGGAATGGTCCTAATGATTTAGTCTCAAAGCTTTCAGATGTTTCTTCTTCTCTTAAGACCCTGACTGGTTGAGGAATCATTACAAATGCACGCACGTTCTTGTAGCTGAAATTGAACTTAAGAATTAGTCTTCAGTAATCGTTAGGAAGCTTCTTAATGAAAAATTCCGATCTTATCGCGGAATATCTCCACAATTTTTTTTGTTATAATTAGAAATAGAGGCGAGAGTGAATCTTTGCTTCAGCACATATAATTAACATTTTACAATGATGTCGGAAATTACATGATGCTGAACTTACTGATAATTCATAAGGAAGTCTTAGAAAACGAATCTTCTGGTATTACGAGCTGCTCTTTAATGAGTTTTCATTAAGAGATACCCCTGAATTTCTCTCTGTGCTTATTTCTTAGTTAACTCCTTTAATTTCACTCCTCGCTATCTCCGTTCTTTTTAAGCTCACCCAGTGGGTTTTAATTACCACCAATTACAACCAGCATCCAAGAAATTCTACCAGAAATGTTAAAGTAAACTATTTTAGTTTTTTCCAACATTTCCGTCTTCTGGAAGACAAGCGATGTTCCAAAGTTGATGTGCCAAATGGCATGAATCATCCCGACACGTGTCAAGCAGAAGGATTTCGCTGGGGGTTTAAACTCAAATACCGCCGTCATTTGTTAAAAGTTTTGAGTTGCAGCCAAAGAGATAAACTAAACAATAACAATACAAGCACAGCTTTTTACGAAAACGATCTCTGTAGTGAAAGCAGCGGTCAAAGCAGTGCACTACTAAAGTATTTTTTTTTCAAGTGATGAAAAAATTATAATTGAAGAAGTTGTTCATTTTATCATTTCAGAAGACAGAAAACTTTTTGTGGGCATGCTCAACAAGCAACAATCAGAAGATGACGTCAGACAGTTGTTCCAACCATTCGGAAATATAGAGGAATGTACAATACTAAGGGACCAAAACGGAAACAGCAAAGGTTCGAATCTTCGAAAAAATATTACTCCTATGTTCCTCCTTGTTCCTATGTCGAACAATGATAAAACAAAAATACCAAATGAAATGTAATCCTTTTTACATTTGTTAATTTGTACATCCTTGCTATTTTAAGGTTGTGCTTTTGTTAATTAAAATTCTGTTGTTATTTTTAGGTTGTGCTTTTGTTAAATACTCCGGCCACAATGAGGCGCAGTCGGCCATCAATGCTTTACATGGAAGTCAAACAATGCCGGTATGTGTCTTATCTGCAATGAGTTCAGTGATCCTGCATTAACATCTAAAATAAATTTTGATCGGAAATAAATATATTCTGATATTCTGATCATAACTTTATGTCAAAATTCCGAGCATGAATTAATGGCAACATTCTGAACATAACTTTACGGTAACACCCAAATAAAATTTTATTGCAACAATCTGAAAATGACTATATTGCAACAATCTGAACATGACACTATAATGGCAACATTCTGATCATGACTCTTTGGCAACATTTTGAACATGACTTTCGAAATTTCAAGCATAAATAAATGGCAACATTCTGAACGTGACTTTACTACAAATTTCTGAATATGCCTCTATTGCAATATTCTGAACGTAACTCATTTGCAATATTCTGGTTACAACTTAATGCGGGGATTCTTTTTTAAGTCTATGTCAAAATTCTGAACATGTTTTTTTTTAATGGCAAAATCTTTTTTTTCAGTCTTTCCCAACATTCTGAAAATGACTTTATAATGACATTTGGGAACTTACTTTGAAAATAATTTACTTGACATGTTTACATGTATATTTCAGGGTGCGTCTTCTAGTCTAGTCGTGAAGTTTGCGGACACTGAAAAAGAACGACAACTCCGCAGAATGCAGCAGATGGCTGGTCCACTGGGGCTGCTAAATCCCTTCGCCATTTCTCAGATTGGTGCATATGGAGCTTATGCTCAGGTTTGTATATACTGTACATGTAGAAATATATTTATAACGAAAGGGAAGGTTTTCCAATTCCTTTTTTTAACTAACAATAATACTGGTCATTCAGCTAGGACTTTTTATTTATAGCAACAAGCGGCTTTGATGGCAGCTGCTGCGACCCAGGGAACTTACTTGACGAGTCCCGTCACTACATTGGCTCACATTCCACAAGTTGGCGCCTTAGCCACGCCCAACGGCATCACAACAGGCGCGCTAACGCCTACCACAGCCACATTAGCCAACGGTAAAATCACGTGACTCTTACTTCCTAAAATGGCCGATAGATCAAAAGGCCAAAGTAGGCTTCGTTATTAGTTTCAGTATCGAGTTAAACAAGTTTGAATACTCACTGGAAGATTTAGATACAAAAACTTTTTTTTCATCATGTTCATTATTCTTTTCCACTTTATGGGGTAAATTCATTTTCTTTGTTGTATCTAATTTTAAATTTAAATAAAATTGTAATGAATTTGATATGTAGGTACTACTGGTATAAACGGAGCGCCCCCTAGTGTGTTGTCCCCGACTGCGTTGGCTGGTTTTCAGATTCCTCAACATAATGGCCAGACACCGGAAATCTACGCCGCTAACGGCATCCCCCACTATTCCGGCGAATGCCAAGTCGTGGAACTAGGTAGAACTTTTATTGAGGAAATGTGTAGAATCATTTGAAATTAAATAAATCGAGGAAAAGGAAGCATCTAAAGAGCTCTTTGACAGTTAATATTCTATAAAACTTGTTTAATTTCAGCGCAAGCTGTTACAAACGGAGATCCATTACAAGCGTACGCTAGCATGCAGCCATATGCCGGGATAGGTAACTTTTTCATGTCCAGTTTTCTTTGTACATGTCTTATCATGCTTGTATCTTATATATGATTAAAGCACCTTGCTTCAAATTACATGCTATTTAAAAATTTATGAACTTTTTCCTATGTTATTTAGCCTACCCAGCATACGGGGTACAGCAAGCGTTGTCTCAACATACTACGATCTTACCGGCCCAGAAAGAAGGTACACCTCACTCTTAACTTTACTGAATGAATTATCTGTGTGTAATAACAAAGATTAATAACAAATTTAAATAATTTAAAAACTAACATTTTTGTTTTCCCTTTATTAACATTCAACAAGTCCAATGGTTCTTATTTTGTCACATGTAATGAAAAGATAATTTTTAGTTAAATGAATCAATGAAATTCTTCTTCTGAGGAAGTGAAAAAATACTCTTCTGTGCAGGAAGTTAAAAACATTGCTTTCAAAATAAGCGGGAACCATTGGATATACTGTTAGTGTGTTATTTGCTGTTGTTGACTTGTGGTGAACAGAATGATGATCTGGAGGTGTATCTACAGTTGTCTTTACAGGCCCAGAGGGCTGCAATCTTTTCATCTATCACCTACCACAAGAATTCGGAGACGCCGAGCTTGCGCAGATGTTCATGCCGTTCGGAACAGTTATAAGTGCTAAGGTGTACGTGGACAGGGCAACTAATCAGAGCAAGTGCTTTGGTGAGTTGGATTATAAAATAAGTTTCAAAAGAAAATATATCAAATATACACCTTTATACGTCATGTTACCATAGTTAGAAATATACATAATGCATGTATAAGATTATTCACAGCCATTGGAACCCTTTTATTGCAGGCTTTGTCAGTTTTGACAATCCTACCAGCGCTCAGGCGGCCATCCAGGCCATGAATGGCTTCCAGATTGGGATGAAGCGCCTTAAAGTTCAGCTAAAGCGCCCGAAAGATCAGAATAGGCCATACTAAAGCAACCAGTGCTCCACTTATATAGGTAAGCAGACGATAAAACAGACACATGCTTGTTTTGTGTTACAGTTAGAAAAAATATATTAAGATTAATTCGTGTCCAGATTCTTGTGTGTCTTGGGGACAAACTTTACTTTTTTACTATGCAAATTATGTATGATATTTTGAAACATTTTCTCCTTATCCTTTATATATATATTTCAGTGCTTCTTTTTTTTCTCTTCGAAGATCATTTTCTGAAACATTAAACACATCATGACATATATGTCTGTCTGTGTTTTTCAAAATTTCCTTATTTAAATGAACACATTTTTTTTTCAAAAAAGAAAAAAAAGATAAATTGACAAAAATTCTCAAGACAACTTTGAATTCCAGATTTAAAAAAAAAATCTAAAGCAGAAATTAACGGCTGTGCTATCAACTTGAACTTTTTGTACTGTAGCTCAGGGACAGCAACTCCTGCTTTGTTTCAAACAAAGAGAGATAACTCTGATTCGTAAGTGTGGGTGGCCGGTGTAGTCCATTGTACCGTGTGTAGATTTTACTGGTTGTAGTAACCCGGTGAAGTAATTGTGTGGCTTCAGGTTTTCTCTACTTCGTTTTTGAGATATTGTTCGTGACGTCATAATATTATTATATCAATTGTCACACGTCTTTCATTTTTCACGATTTTTATTGACAATTATGGTTTTTATTTGTGTTTTACTGCTTACATAGCTATGTAATTATTCTATGTTGTGTTGAAAGTACACATTTTTCTTGCATCTAACTTTGGAGTCTTGATACGGGGCTTTCGTTGCTATGGTTATAAATGCGACCTAGTTGCACCAGGTAAAAGGTTTCCCATAAAATACTAAACTTATCTTAAATTTCTTCTAATCTAAAATTAAAACAAAACAAAATGAACCACTTTCCCCGACATTTCCTTACTAATTGACCGAGATTGTCTAATAGCTGAAGGAAAATCAAGCATGCTCATTTCTTACTAATGATTAATACATGGATTTCAAAACCCTCTGGAACAAACATCTCTTGCTGGGAAGCACAAGTAGGGATATTAAAAAATAATTTGGTGACACATTCAGAACAAAGGTTGTATTAGGAGAACTAAAGCTATCGGTATTCTTAAACAAATATGCACATTTTCTTTCTTTCTTACAACATATTTTACATGTATCTCCATATTTCAATATCAAATTTCTGAATACATGTTTCAGGAAACATGTTTTCAGCCATATCAAACATATCTCAAATCTCTGACTTATAGAAACATTTCAGTTAGTTAAAAATAAAGTTTAATATCAAAGTTACGGAGAATCACACGTTTCGTAGACTTCAAAGAGCATTGAGGGTTTGGAAAATAGTCTGCATTTGAGTTTTTGGTTTTTTGACGTGTTTTCAGTTCCTTTTGAATGTTTTGGAATCATCCAATTTGAGGTGTGTTTGATGGTTGTTGTAAAAACACGATCTCATATTAATGTTATATACATATAATTATATCTATGGAATGTGGGACACATCAATTGTAATCATTCTATAATACACTCTTAGAAAGCAAAAAGAACTACTGCATAAAAAAAGCAACCCCTTTTATCTAAATAGGAAAGGAAAAAAAGTATACGTGTTAGATAGACATAATATTTTTACAGTAGAAGCACCGTTCAGAATTTTAGACACAGAGCCAAATCGTTCCTTCTCAGTTTTATGAAATAATGCATTCAACCCAGTCATGATTTATTGCCAACCCGTAACTGGACACGTTTGGAGAGACCCTCTTCCATTTAAACACAGCAGAGGAACTTAATGCTTTCAGACCCTACTCCGTGTCGACTACTTTCACGTACGATTTGAGTTTTAAGCCAATATGATGCGGATTACATTTCGATCCCAGTTTTAAGATACTAGGTTAATTTAACGTACATTCACAATTTCAGCAATTCGCAGTTTCAAAGACATTATAGTGCCGATACGGTACCAGAAATAAATATTTATATATAAGTTAAGATTAGAAATTACATTTTGCCTTGAAAATTCGATTGCTATTCCTGTTATCCCAAAATCAGTGTTCAATAATTTTAAATATAGCCTAAGGTAGTTAACGTTGATTGGGGGTAAATGCCTACAAACTGAGGTTGTTAGATTTATAGTAGTATTAAATAAATATTGTTAAAAATTCTAATTTTCCTTTCTCTTCCAGAACTAGAAGAAACAGAGTTTGAAATACCAACAGAGACCAAGGGACGTAACTCTGATGAAACAGGGTATCAAAGGGAGACCACCCTTACATACATGTCTGTAAATAAAATTCGCATAAAATTTTATTTTCTTAAAAAGAACGTTTTCCCACCGTTTTGTAAATAAATAGATGTTGTTTGGAAGGACTTACAAATATTGGCGAGAGGAGAGTCATATACAATGTATAGAGGACTTCAAACGATATCCCCCACCTTGCTTACTTATGATATTTTATTATAAAATATTAGTTTAGTTACATTGAAATGTTTATTATATATATTACATGTTATATATTTATTATATTTAAAAACAATGTATTATATTTGCCCCCATATAAAACAACCAGCTCGTTTTGGTGGATTTTATTTCGCTGGTTAACATTCCATTTTATAAGAATAAATGACTCCACAAGATGCCATTGATGTAATTTTGACAGCATTTAAGTGACATTTTATGTGTTAAAGGTGTAATTTTTACAACAGAATATTTTCAAATCAAATTTTTGTATATTATCATATATTATATACGTATCACTTCATATTAACTGGAGGCGGCCGCTCATTGGATGTTGTGTTTGGTTGCCATGGACACCCTAGTTGTTGTCGGGTAATTATTGTATTCACGGTAGTGATGTCATAGAATCAACAGTTAATTCTTAAATTTTTTTGTGTAATCCTAGTGACAAATTAAATGTTGTTTTTATTTTTAAGATCAGTGTGAATTGTATTTAAGTAAGTACCATTTTTTTTCTTTTGGTTGTTTTATATGGAGGAGGTATGGGCATTGTTAACTTGTATATAAATTTGAACAAAATGCATTCCTGATCATTATTTACATCCAATATCCTGTCATTGTATCATGTTGTGCCCTGGTAAGCCTCGTTTTCACACCGGGCAGGGATCAAAGTTCACATTGTTGTTCACCGTCAAATGAAATACCTTGTTACTTAATCTAAGACTGGATCGGCTTGGATGTTATTTTTAGATTTGTTGATTGGCACCTGTTTTTATCAATGGACAGATAGTTTGTTACTTATTACTGATACAAAAGTCGTATTTATTTATTTATTTATATTTATTTGTTTAAATATCATCGGACATTTTGTAAATAGCTAGTTTAGATTCATCAGGAATCGCACGGAAATTCCCTCGAGATAATATAAATTATCTATATATGTGTTCCCTCTGCGTAACATGACATATTTTGTTTTTTTGTTGATTATTTATGGCTGTATAGTCACAAAAAGTCTGTAGATAGATTTTAACAGGCAGATTACAGCAATTGGTTGTATATTTAGTTGGGTTGTATATTGTCTCAAAAGATCACAAATGGTGAGTTTTAATGTTATTTTTAATGATATAAAAATCCCAAGAAAGTGCAATATTTTGATGTATTATAGATGGAATTTCTAGTCAGTCATTGTTTATCACCTGAGATAGGCTTGTGTTTGGTTGATTTTGTTTGGTCTGTCTATTTAAGACTTGTGAGTGAGTATACTTAAGTCAATTATCTCATCACATCTCGGGTGAGCAATGCAGTTTTGATTTTTTTTTTTTTTACTATTGGTGCAATCTTGTTAATATGGGGGAAAATTAACATTTAACTCGTGAAATTATTGCATAATTGTGACACTTTTGTCTCGTTTATTTTTGCAAATGTAATTGGAGGACCTAAAAATCTCAGTGAACGTGACGGTAGAGACACCCCTCGTGTCCAGAGCAATTAGCTCCGGGTATTTGAGTTCTCCTTAAGGGTGTCTCGCCTCCTTCACCATTGTACACTATTTTTGTTTGATTAGATCAGCTCTTCTACTTTCTTTATCTCCAGTAGATTTTTTTTCTTTCTATGTTATGTACACATTTGTTTTTAAGCTACTATTTGATATTGACCAGAAGTGGAATATCTTTTTTATGAAGGATTTATTCCTTTATTTATTAGTTAATTTGATTTTTTGTAGCTAACTGAGCATTCAGAATTATCATGACCTAGCATGGTTCATTAGTCACTTAGTTAGACATCATACTTAGCTAAACATGTAAAAAGAAGCGATACAATAAAATATTGAATCACATTACACATGGTTTTGTTTTGATATGATTGTCTCCAGAATGAAACGAATAACGCAGTGGAAAGGTCCTTCTGCAGAAATTGGATACGACCGATTTTGAGGAAGAAGTGAGACAGACTCAGTCTGACAAAACAGGTTAACAAAATTAACTTTTCTTAAAAAATGTTGAACCCAGTCTTCCTTGCATCCTCAGAAATTATCACAATGGTATGAGTTTCAGTATATACTGATAGTCTCGATGATTATTAAATATGTAAAAAAAAAAAAAAAAAAAAAAAATTCAAAAAGAATCGTTTCTAGTTCTACTCTACAGGATACCCTGATGATTCTGATGCCCAGAAGAGTTTTTTTTCTGAATAGGCGGTGTTAATTATATATATATTAAAAAAATTATAATAGGAAACTTTGTACCTAATTAGGGATCTTACATGCTGTCCTACCGGTAAATTTTAAATCATTGAATCAAGAAACAATTGTAGAACCATGGCCCTGGCGAGAAAATCAAATCGAATAAAACATTCTACATGAGACAACTGATCTTAACTGAGTTTGAACAATGTAAATATGTTTTCTGCATGTAATGGATATTTGAGTGGCATTCGCTTGTGATACACGTTATGAGAGGAACTCGGTATCACAAAGACTCCTAATTCTAACTAAACTGTGGTTGCCTAAAGACTTATATAGTTTAAAGCTTATGCCTGAGAGACGATGGCTGAGAATTTGCATAAAATCATTGAGTAGAAGGTTAGGGGGAGATAACTTGAACATTTATTATAGCAATATTATGAAAAACTTAGGAATGTTCTTGTGTGTTAAAAATCATTTACCTTAATTAAGCTGAAGCTGCACATTATCATTTGTTTAAATTTCTATCAGAAAACTAATTAATTGTGAGTTTGTAAGTATTAGAAGTTTTTAACGGTATAAATATGTGAACAAGATAATTATGGTACATGTAAACGAAAACTGAAAATGTTTCTGGGTTACAATAAAATTTACTGGACTTGGTCATTGGTCAATAAAATAATATTATTATGCTTCCTGTCAGTTTGTCTCTATATAACCCATACCCTACTATTTTCGCATAGTGGTCTAAGGATTTATATAAAATACTATGTTCCGATATAGTGCACAAGGCCTTATTTGCTATAAAATACTTCAGCACACCCTCGGGAATCGAACTCACGACCATGAGGTTGCTAGTCCGATGCCTTATCGATTACGCCACAGAGACGATCAATGATTGGGAGAATTTTATAAAATATATAAACTTAATTTATACAATTGACACAAGAAGGAGAAAATAGACAAATATTATTTGAAAACAGTTATAGCGAGCGCAGCGAGCGTTTAATGCGACGCTCGTCAATATCTTAAAGCAACGCCTGTGCGAAGAGAAAATTCGGACTACTGCACATTCATTCGATAGAATTTTTTGATGCCTTTAAATTTGGACCCACAATTTTGTTTAAGCTTTGTTAAAGCTACGTTCTCGTGAGAATAGTAGCAAAATTTTTATTAAAAGTAAACTTGCCCTGATTTAATGGATAAATATTGAAGATAAAAAGCAAACGAAACGTTCTTCATTTATTTTCAGCACTGTTCAGGGTTCTTTGGGGGAAATGTAACTTACATACGACGTCATGTGACGTCAATCTAACGCATCAAATGTTGCAGTTTGAATAAATAGCCCGGTTTAAATTCTAACAAAATAAACATATGCGCTCGCCATAACGGTCGCACCGTCAACATATTATTTATTCTAAGGAATCTTAGATAAATGTGTACAACAAAGTTTCAAACTAATTACATACAGATCGTTAGATGAATTGATATAATGGGGTCATTAAAACGCTTTTTTATATAGCGCTTGATTGAAGGATGTAAAAGAAAATTATCAATGAGAATCCACGTCTGTAAACAAATCAGTATCTTACTAACAAAACAGAAAATAAAGATGAGTATCGTTGGGACAGAAAATTCTGACTTATTTAGAGAAAATACTAGTAACCAAAATAACTAAGCATGCAACTAAAATAGCATGAAGAATTTGAATGAGTTTTTGCAAGTGCGCTGTGTTACCACCATTATTTTCAGGAAAAAATCAAATGGATTGCCGCATAAATAATAACAACAGTCAGCATAATAATAACAATAGTGTTGCATTATGCATGTACTATGCCAATTGAAAATAGTAGGCAGGGTTTGACACATAGTGCACTCGCCTCCGGCTCGTGCACCATGTGTCAAATTCTGCCTACTATTTAGGCATAGTACATGCATAATGCAACACTATTATATAATTAGAGACGAGTGTTGCATCATGTAATTTCAGACGCTGGTTATTAAAGAAACTCAATTTCAAAAATGATTGTTCACTGTTAATGACAAGTACTCAAGAGATTTTTACAGCTCTTTTATTGAGCATGTTGACGGAATAAAGCCTTGTTGAGAATAAAAGCCTGTTTTTGAGTGATGATGACTGAGACTGTATTAACTGATTAAACCAATAAGTCGCAAATTAGGAGAAGATACATGTAACATTCACGCAATTTAGCAGATAGAAATTTTTAATGCTTGCTGGAACTAAGAGGCATAAACCATTTATAAAACAACTGATTTTGAGTTTGTGAATATGTCTTAGGCATATATGTAATATTGGTAAAGAAAACGTCTTTTAAGGATGCTATGTCTCCCCTGAACATTTTCTCCATCGAAATTTGAGTGACCTTTAATTTAGTCTCATTGGTTTGTGAAACGTCGTGATGAGTGAGAGGTACTCACTCTCTCACAGTTGCAAT